CCAGGCTTCTACGAGTTCCCTTGATGAACAACACAAATCCCAGTCACTGTCATGTTTCCCAGGCAATTATGTAACCAAGTCAATTTAAAGTGGCCAATTCAGGTTTTAAGGCCTCCACCAATGAGATTGCATCATAACTTATTCAAGATATTATTAGAAGATACGTCAACCTTCATGGTGTCAAGTGAATTACTATGTATGTCTATTCTTTTTTTTCCTCCCTTTCCAAAAGAGAAAAGAAACTGCTATTTCCAATACAGGAAGTAGGAAGTGTGTGCCATTGACATAAGAAGGAAATGAGAAGTTGACACTGGTGATACACATTTGATGAAGGTTGTCAAGAGAAATGACATGCTATATACCAAATGAAGAACAGAAAGCGCGGAGCCAGGATTACAGGCAACATAGGATATGACCATTTAAAGTGATCATAATTTAAGAACTACTCATCAATCTAAAAGGTACCTGTGGCTATATACTCAGGAGCAGTGAAGCCAAAGGTTCCCATGACCCTTGTAGCGACATGGCTCTCATCACCCGATGGTCCGCCCCTTGCCAAACTAAAATCAGATAGCTTTGCATTGAAGTTCTGATGACAATAAAATGGGATGTTAGAATAGCTGGTCTAGATAACGACTCCTAATCTTGTAGGATCAATGGGATTTACATACTGAATCAAGCAAGATATGAGAAGCTTTTAAATCTCGATATATCACATTTACTTCATCACTATGAAGAAATGCAAGAACCTTGGCAGTACCAAGGGCAATTTTCATACGGTTGCTCCAAGAAAGTGGTTCATCATAAGATGTCCCTATTTAAAAAAAAAAAAAAAGATAATTGAAAGTTTCAATCTTTAAGGTACTAAATAATGTTACCCCACATATAAACCCGAAATGGCAATAATAAACGGAAAGACTAACAACTCACTAAGAAATAAATGATTTTCCAAGCTGCCTGTGGTCAAAAACTCGGATACCAAAACCGATGGTCATCCTCTAAGCAGTAGCCAATCAATTTCACAATGTTAGGATGATGATTGATCTGTGCCTAAAACATAAGACTAATTAGTGACAACAACAAATAATATAAAGCATCTTAAAATATTATCTATGCTTCGAGCGAATTTCTTATTGTAAACAAGGCCTGCTAACCACTTTGTCACACTCACCATCAATTCCTTGTGTCCCTCGAAGCCTTCTTGGTTAAATTTCTTGACAGCAACGATTATCCCAGTGCCTGGTTTAGCAGGTGCAAGTGTCTGCTCATCAAGCCACCCCTTAAATACCCTACCAGATGCACCTTCGCCCACCATATTGTGCGGACGAAAGTGCCTTGTAGCTGTTTTTAGCTCATCGTATTTGAAAATTTTCAATTGGGAGACCTTGTTGCTTCCACCAGTCAAACCATCTTGTTGTTTGCTATCATGGGTTATATTCACAACTGCACATTAAGTTTAGAGGTCCACTTTTCAAAACATTTATAAGAACTCTAGTTATAAAATAAGCTACTCATTGTACTGGAATACCCGATAAATAGGTCGATTGTAGGGAGAATGACAAAAAATTTGCAAGCCATTTTATGATTCATTATGTAGTTAGTCTGTAGGGACCGGAATGCTTGAACGTAAAAACTAGGCTACACGGAAATCAGACAGGTTAATTAGACACTTTACCGTGCATCCCATGGTTGAAGGATGTATTTCATTTCAACGAAGTTTATTTGTACACCGTACAGATAACAAAAGGACAGAAAATAGACAGACTCTTTATCTTCTTCCTAAAAAAATCTATTGTTATTATTTATAGACGCAAATAAACTAGCAGGAGCATTTGTAGCATATGACTAGGTTACGTGAATGCAAGCCTATTTTAACCACCAAAGCCAAATCAATCTCCGAAAGCACCAAACAAACAAGCTGATGAAGCAAAAATTAGTTGAGGAAGTAGGGAAGAACAGCAATGTTACCCTTGCGTGAAGGGTTTTCAGACTTGATACTCGCACTAAAGCAGCAACCCATGACTGTGAAACTCAGAGCCGAGAATTGCTTCTCTCTGTTTTCGGTGAGCCCACCAGCTTCAGCGAAGAAAGGATCGGAAACCCTTCAATTTCAAGAGAAAAAGATATTATGAAGTGGAGCCTTTTTCACAGGTGCGTTAGCAGTCAACCGCGAGGACTTCATTCTCAAATGTAATTATTGAATACATAAAAATAATTCCACTAGTTGAATGGGTAAAGTAAAGGTTTGAACGAGGGAAGATAATGGAATTGCGAGGAAAGATCACAAGTTTGGACCATTGAGAAAGGCAAATTTCAGCAGCCGTTGACCTAGCGTCGGCCGACCGGAGCTTCGATGTCCGACCCTTGCAATGGCACCCATCTCGCCGGAATCTACTTTTATTTTCACCCGCCGGCGAGAAGGCCACCTTTCTCAACGCTGATACCTCTTCTCAGGATCCTTTCGTTTGTCCATTCCAACAACTCATTTGCTCTGTTTGTTTCTTTAATGGAGAAGTTAGAAAGTTCTTCTCTCGTTTGAATTGCAATCGTTGGTTTCTTCCATCAAAGTTTTCTTCTTGCATAAGTTTCATCTGCTTGAATTGATGGAGAACACTGTTCGAGATCCCCGTAGGCATCCTCGTCAAGGAATTGATTTGAGATTTAACCAAAGTAAAATTTTCGTATCATGCACTGGTTTTCATTTTACGTCATGCTAAGAAGATGCTCACCGAAGGGGCTCGTAAGGCTTTGCATGCATGCAGCATGACAGGACCTGTTTGGTGACTTGTGGTGGGTAATTACAGTCCAACCATTTCTCCCTTTTAATAAGTTCAAAAAGCCAGAAGATAGGAAGCGTATCACAGAAGATGGTGGTTTTCATTTCTATTTTATACTCAACAACAGTCAAGAGGACTCTATTAATATTACTGATAATCAGATTGATGTTCATGATCCGAAAAGTTGATGTTCATTAGGGAGGGACTGATCGAGTATTTTCAGCAGCAGGTTGATCAGCTTATGCATGTTTAGACCTATCTCTAGAAATTCAAGTCAAACTGAGATTGAAGGTCTTCTTTTAATGATGTTTCTTTTCATATCAACTTAAATGAAGGTGTACATGTGACTGATGTTCAAGCTCATCGGTTATACACTTTACGATGTGTGGATGAAGTTCAGAATGTAACAGTTACTGGGTTAATAACAACAGTTGAAAATGTCTTGTGAATAAAACTGAAAACGGGAGGGAAGGGTGTCAAAGTTTGCAAGTTATCAATGATTGGCACTAGATATTAAGAGTAGCAATTGTAATTAAAAATGGGGGCAATTTCTTTAAAAGGAAACCTAGGAATATCAATTAATAAACTGCTTCTTTCTATTAAGGTAGTTAACAATGCCGAAGAGTGAATAATACTATATCTCTAATTCTTAATACAAGAGTTAGTTTGACATTCATTTTGATTTTAAATATAAAACCCAAATTTGTTCTATCTTTCATTTTTATTTATTTATTTTGTTAAAATAGCCCTTGTAGTAATTACACATATTAAAGGTTTCATGAAATGATAGTTCTAATGATTAATAAGAATATTGTAAAGAAAACAATATATTTATTACAAATAACTAATTAAACTAATTTTTTAATCTATTTAAATCGATCATCTAGTTCTTATATCAAGGATGATTTTATATATGAGGCCAAATCCAAAAAAACACCGCAGCTCATAACCCAGCAAACTCAGCACCGCGTACTATAATGACAACAAACCCATAGAATTTGAGTCTCTTTTTTGAAGATAATTATTTCGTAACCAAATTATAATAATTATTTTGTTAATGAATTTGCACAAAAAGAGGTTTAATTTTCTGTTAGTATGAATATAAAAAGCTGAACAGCAATCCCCATCTCATATCAGAGTCAGGTGGCCTTCATGCCTATGAACGAGGAAATCGAATGGAGGAAGACAAAGGTTTTTTTTTGTTTTTTCTTTTTTTGGCGTCAAGGAAGACAAAGGAATTTAGGATATAATAATTAGAGCCGGAAAAACGAACCGAACCCGTTTAGACCTGAAAATTACGAGAACCGGGCTTTGAATTTTTCCTCTCAAATGAGAAACAGGCCCTACAGGGCTAGTCCTATAGGGCTGAGGGCTTAAACGGGCCTCAGTCCCGACTTGTTTTGGCCTTTTTATAATTTTTTTTTGTTTTTTTTAAAATTTTTTATGTAATTCTAATATCATTAATTTTTTTTATTGTTAATGATATTTTAAATATTTAGTTATTATTATCATTTTAAAATTAAATTTCACAAAATGATTTGATTTATTTAGTTTTAGATAATAATTTATCCAATTAAATTTTTAAAAAATGAGTTAGTTTGGACTTTAATAATGATTTGATTTATATTATATGCATTGATATTTTTAAACTCCATATATTTGATAAGAGAGTATTTTTATACTTATATATCTTGTGATTCTACAATTTGAATTAGAAATTTATAAATTTCAACAACAATATTTCTCAAACTAAAATAAAATAATAATTAGATTGTAAAATTTAAAAGTAAAATTTCGATAAAAAAGAAAAACTTGATGTTTTTATTACGAAAGAAAAGCATACTCACAAAAAGAGTTGATTATAATGATGATAAAGTTTCAAATATTAATGATAACATTCGTTTATTGCACATTTATACTATAGATAAAACTTTTAGATGTTATCTTCTTAATGAATGTTTTAGATATTTTTGGATATTAATACATATTTATATATGATGATATTTTGTATTTGTAACTTAATTTTATTCATATTTGTGTCTTTTATTAATAATTTCATTGGCTTATTTTCATTTTTTGATAAAAAAATATGAGAATTATTAAAAATAGCATTTTCCCCACCTTAAACGGCCGAAAGCCCGCGGACTGACTTTGAGCCCGTTAACTTAAGAATCGGGCTGATAAATTAGAGTATTTTTAAAATTTCCACCCTATAGAGCTGGCTTTTTTAAACCCGCTAGCCCTACAGGTCCCCTGATTCCCACCTTAATAATAGAGAGAATCAAAAAGCTGTACAGCAATCACCTGTCTTGAAAAAGACACGCTCAAGTTCAGAGATATACAATGGGCCAACTCTATTTCTTTGAAGCCGATTAAAAAAGGAGCTAAGTATGAGTTCAATCCAATCAATTTACCTCCGTTTATGTGGAATGAGATGCAGATGATGTGGGTTTAGAAGTGTCAACCCCATTTAAAGATTCACTCGTACTTCTCTTGTGCTGTTTAGGAACATTATTAGTACTGCTGCTGCTTGGGCCACCAGTATCACTGGTATCCAGAAGCTGCTCCAATGCTCTGACCACATCAGCCATGGTCGGTCTGAACCGGGGCTCTACAGACAGGCATTGGATTGCGATTTTCGCTACTTTCATGGCTTCACGTACCAGGTACTGGCCTTCGATACGAGCATCCATAACTTGGAAAATCCGGCGCTTGCTCGAAAGGTACGGCTTGGCCCATTCAACTAAATTCTGTTCCCTGGATGGCCTGTTTCTGTCCAACGCACGTTTGCCTGACATGATTTCAAGCAGAACAACCCCGAAAGTGTATACATCACTCTTCTTTGTCAGGTGACCTTCAGAGAAAGACAATGGAGAAGGATTAGCAGTGAAAGTGTGGGCAGAGATTACAAGCCGAATTATTAAGTGAAAGCCAATGCATAAAGGAGCTCTTAATAAAGTGAAGTGAACTAGGAAGCAGCAGCATAGAGCTTAGAAAACGGGTTCTCAAAATGTAACAATTCAAAGCAAAACCAGTACAACCGCAAAATATAACTAGTTGAAACAGACTACATAGCCTACAAACTGCATTTGTGATAATGAAATCGCATAGTTATGGTACATCACACTTCAGGGATGCTCTGGATTTCTTTCAGCAAAGATATTGACGAGAACTTGATCAGTGCTATCTTGCAAAAAGGGCGAGGGAAATGTTTTCATGTGTTTAAGACTAGATGGTTCACTCACTTTATTTTATTTGTACCATAAAGCCTATGAAAAATGGATCCAGTTACAGTTCACATAGACGGCTGCCTAATTATGCGGATAGGTTAAAGAAAAATGTCTGCAGTAATCGGGGGCAAGGAACACCCACATGAATACTAAAATTCTACCTCTCCTGCTCTCACCCCCATCTATCTCTCCTGGTCTAACCTAGCTTTTACGAGGTCCCTTGATGGCCAACACAAGTCCCGGACTCAACATCATATTTCCCAGGAAATTATGTAACCAAGTCAATCCTTGGCGGCCAATTCACGGATAAAGGCCTCAAACAAAGAGTTGGCATCATAATTGATCGTAGATGTTATTGGGAGATGCATCAACCTTTTCGGCATCCAGTGAATTATTTAACTTCCAAAGGAGAAGAGAAACTGCTCCAATACTGGAAGTAGGAAGAATGTGTTCTGCAGTAGGAAGGAAATGAGAAGCTGACAAAGGTGATGCACAATTGATGAAGGTTGTCATGTGAAATGAAATGCTACATATCAAATGAAGAACAACTACGGAGACAGGATTGCATGCACACAACAGGATAGACCATCTAAGGTGATCATAATGTAAAAACTAATCATCAATATGAAAGATACCTGTGGCCATATACTCAGGAGCAGCATAGCCATATGTGCCCATGACCCTTGTAGAGACATGGCTCCGATCACCTGATGGTCCATCCTTGGCCAATCCAAAATCAGATAGCTTTGCATTGAAGTTCTAATGAGAACAAAAATGGGATGTTAGAATAGTAAATCCAGCTAACTACTTCTAATCTTATAAGTTCAGGGGAATTCACATACTGAATCAAGCAAGATATTAGAAGCTTTTAGGTCTCGATATATCACTTTTACTCTGTCACTATGAAGAAATGCAAGACCCTTTGCGGCATCAAGGGCAATTTTCAAGCGGTTGCTCCAAGAAAGTGGTTCAACATGAGATGTCCCTGTTCCAAATATAAACATAGTTGAAAGTCTGAGCCTTTAAGGTACTAAATAGTGTCAACCCACATAAACTTAAAATGGCAGTAATCGAAGGAAAATTAACCACTCACTTCGAAATAAATGATTATCCAAGCTGCCTTTGGTCAAAAACTCATATACCAAAAGTCGATGGTCATCCTCTAAGCAGTAGCCAATCAATTTCACAAGGTTAGGATGGTGCAGATGTCCCAGGAAATTGATCTCTGTCTAAAGCACAAGACTAATTAGTGACAGCATCAAATAACAACAAACATCTAAGACATTATCTATGCCTGGACCAAATTTCTTATTGTAAATAAGCCCCGCAAACCACAAGTGACACTCACCAACCATTCATTGTGTCCCTGGAAGCTTTCTTGGTTAAGCTTCTTGACAGCAATGACTATCCCAGTGCCCGGTTTAGCAGGTGCAAGTGTCTGCTCATCAAGCCATCCCTTAAATACGCCACCAAACCCACCTTCGCCCACCATACTGTCAGGACGAAAGTTCCTTGTAGCTGTTCTTAGCTCGTTATATGTGAAATTTTTCAAATTGGAGGACTGCATGATCTCACCCTCTGTTCGGGGAGTTGGAGGCACCGAGGAAGTGGAGAACTTGCTGCTTCCACCCATCAAACCATCCTCTTCTTTGCTGTCATGGCTTGAGTTCCTCGCTGCACATTCAAATTAAGAGATCCACCTTTCAGGACATTTATAAGAACTCTAATTACAAATTAAGCTTCTGGTTGCATGGAAACATCCTAGACGTGGGTTAGGGTGTAGAGGTTGCATAAAACTTTTGCTAGCATTTTTAAGACGCATTGTTAAGTTAACAAAGGAGCCTGACGGTACCGGAACACTGAACATAGAAATTACGCTATGCGGAAACGAGAGAAATTACTTAAACTCTTTCCCACGCATCCCATGATTGAAGGGTTGATTTCATAACTGAAAGACAGAAAAGAAACAGACCCTTTATCTTCTTCCTCTCTTTCAAGCCGTCAAAACATTAAAAAGAAATCCATAATTCACAGACGCAAATAAAGTAGCCGGAGCATTTGTAAGTATATGACTATGTTAAATGAATCAAAACCCAATTTTAACTACCCCTGCCAAATCAACCAGAGAAAGCACCAAACAAGCTGATCAATCAAAAATTAGTTGAGGAAGCAACGAAGAAGAACAGCAATGTTACCCTTTCGTGGAGGGCTTTCAGCTTTGATTCTCGCACTAAAGCAGCAACCCATAGCGACAAACCTCAGAGCCCAGAACTGCTTCTCGCTATTTTCAGTGAACCCACCAGCTTCAGTGGAGAAAGAACCGAAAACCCTTTGTTTTCAATGAGAAACAGGCACTCGGGAAAAGGGAAAAACAGATATCCAAGTGTGAAAGGGAGGTTTTTTCCACATGTGGGTTAGCTGTCAACCGCGGAGACTTCATCCTCAAATATATGTATTGAATGCGCAAAGCTACTTGGAACGAATTGAATGGGTAAAGTAAACGTGTGAACAGGGGTGAGAAGGAATTGCGAGGAAAGATCATAATTTTAGACCGTCGAGAAGGACAAAATGCAGGGACCGTTGACCAAGCTGTCACTCCGGTTTTTCAATTCATTTAGGAGAGAGCTAGTGGGGAAGGAGACTCGGAAAATACCTTCATTTCGTTCCACGCTCTCAATCTCAAGCTTATCCTTCTCTTTGTCCAATCCCATCATCTGCGCATGGCCCCATCCGAGCTTTTGACAAAAGAGGAAAGATGTTAATTAATTATTTAAGTAGCTAAGTATACATAATTTATTCGGTAATAGTTTCTAAACATTGAATTTTCATGATTATAAGCAAATACAGGCTGTCATTTTGTAAACTTTACAATTCTTACTTGTATATATTCAAAACGTTAACTAATTTTCTCATTCAAGTGGTTTAGTCAAATATTTCTTATGAAAAGAGATCAAAAGAAAAACATAAAAGGTGGTCTTAAAAGATCATAAATTCTCATTTAGTCTAGAACACTATATAATACTACCTTTAGTTCTTAATATAATATCTCGTTTAATTTTTATTTTAGTTCTAAATACAAGATCCCAATTCATTTTGTCTCTCATATTTGTTTATTTTTTCCAAAATAGTCTTTGTAATAATACTACTTCCGTTTCTTAATATAAAACCTCGTTTGATTTTTATTTTGATCCTAAATATAAAACCCTAATCCACTTTATCTCTCATATTTATGTATTTTTTTTCTAAGAAAGTCATTCTAATAATGATATTTCTAGTTAATACACTTGATTAGTAAGAATATTTTAGGGGAAAAAACACTCATTCATTATAAATAACTAAATTAACTTATTTCTTTAATCTTCTCAAATTAGTCAACTAGCTCTTATAATTAAGACTGGAGGCAGTAATAGTTTTAACTAATAAACTTGATTAGTAAGGGTATTTTAGAAAAAGATAGCACTTATTTATTACAAATAATTAACTCAACTTATCTTCTTAATCTGTTCAAATTAGTCAATTAACTCTTATATTTAGGACCGGAGTTAGTAATATTTTGAAGAGTATGAACAGTAATGTTAAATTAAATAAAGTAATTTTAAGGAAAATAATTTTTGAAATAAACCCTTCCCTTCTTGAGAGAACACAAGTTCCATCGAGTTTGGCACCTACCGTTTCTCTTATCTTGTCAAATTTTGATGCCGCTCGGGTTGGTGCTCGGTAGGTGACGGTGCATATACAAACATTTTTATATTATACACTATATACATAAATAGATATATTCCTATTTTTATTAATATTTTAATAAATACAATAATTGTTAAATTATTTATTTATAAAATACACTCACCAATCCATTCATACTACTTTGGTTTAAAATATCAACTTGTAATTTTGTGTATCAAATACTCATATAGACATTTTTTTTTTTTGGGATCAGGAGTATTGTCTGCCAGTAGCAAAATACTAATTTTCCTTACTATAAGGGTTGGAAATTAAATAAAATCTGCTGGTAAAAAAAAAAGAAATTAAATAAAATCATGTACTTTCCAAAGAATTTAAATCAGATCACTTAACAAAAAGATAAAAGTTCTTACTATTTAGGTTTGCTTGAGTAACTCAGATACAAAAAACAAAAATGTGGTTTCATATTTAAGACAATTCATAATTACTATGTGCAGTTACAAAAGAATAATGAAAGTTGAATGGAAAATCGACAGCCAAAAAGTCAGCGTGGGCGACAGCATATGCTCAATTAAATAAAATATATGAGGAAAAGTTTGTCTTTTGGAAAAATCAAGACAACAGTTAAATGAAAACAAGAAAAGGTTGGATTTTTTTGTCTTTGAAAAATCAAGCTGTTTGACATTTGAAGCCAATGTCCCTCTACAAGTTGCTGCATATTTTAAGGATTGTGATTTAGAGCAATACAGGGTTTGACTTGGAGAGATCTACAATTAATATTGTTTTCATCTTTTTTACAAGTTACAGACTCGCAAAAGAGATTGTCTTGTTCTATTTATTAGTTATTTCCTTCGGTCTATGATATAAAAAATTAGTTTTTTTTTACATGCTAAAAAATAAAATTTTAGTCATTAGATATGTCCTAAAATAATAATTTTCTATTTTATGCCTAAAAAATGATAAAATTGCATTTTATATTACACTTTATTATATCTCTCATCTCTCTCCACTCTCTCATATATATAATAAGAGTGAAAGTTAAAAAATCACATTAATTATCCTGACAACATCTTATATATTGGACTACAATTTTTTTACTAAATTTTTAACATAAATATATTATTTTACCTTTTATTTATTAATGTATAATTTGTTATTTGTCTGAAAAATATATGTACTAAATTGTACTGTTATTAAATGTTAAATTTCAAGATAGAGTTAATTTAGTTTAGTTTAGTTTTTTAGATAATACACGTTCAAAGTAATTTATAAATAAAATTGAGGGAGCGCTTTTTCCTCTTTTCTTAACAACATTGGATTTTATGAGATTCAAATAATGAAACGCGACCAGGCAAATGTTGTTCATTAATATATATTAAAATATATAAAAAGATAAATTAAGACAATAGTATTTCAAAGAATGTCAATACAAGTTGTTTTAATAACGGTATTTGTCACGCTTGAATAAGGTCCTCCTTAAACTTAATGTTGACATATTTATTTATTTATATGCATGCATGTGTTTAATTGTTTAAAAAAAAATTTTAAAAAAGGAAAAATTAGCAAAGAGACATATACCCTAAATGGATATCTCTCAATTTTGGATGGGTCAAATTAGATGGGGATGGATTTGTAGTTTCGATTGAAACAGTTCATAAAATTTTTGGGTTACATTCAAAATAATACTGCTGAACTTTTGGGCATTCTTGAAAGTCTTAAATTCTAATGGGAAGAAAATTATATGAAAATAAATTGAGCTCACACAAAGCGAAAACAAACACAATCATCCTCTCATCAACGTTGTCAAAAGGATCAGAAATATTCTTATATGTGATTGGAAGGTCTTTTTATTGACCATATTTTAGAAAATTTTTGTGATCAGATTTAGCCTTATATGTCTATAACTATTACTACCTCCAGTTCTATTATAAGATCCAGTTAACTAATTTGATAAAATTAAAAAAAGAAGTTAAATTAGTTATTTGTAATAAGTAGGTGTTGTCTTTCCTAAAATATCTTTATTAATCAAGTGCGTTAGCTAAAACTATAATTATTAGAATGACTATCTTGAAAAAAATTGAGTAAATATGATAGATAAAATAGATTAAGATCTTATATTTAGGACCAACATAAAAATCAAACTGAGTCTTATATTAAGAAACGGAGCTAGTACCTTTTATTCTAAATATAAGATGTAATGTAATTAACATTACAAATTAAATCTCATATTTCGGACCAGAAGGTTTTGTACCACGGCGTTATTATTTAAAAAGAAAAACACGTGAAGTAAAAGCATCATTATTCATAATTTTGTATTATTATGCCAATTTGCGTATAACACATGATAGCTTTATATCGCATAGATGTTAAAATAATAGCAAGCAGCAGAAGAAACCAGTTTCGTCCGTGAATAGAAGCACTTAAATATACACACACACATACATACTACCTATTATCATAAATATAAGAACTAGTTAACTAATTTGAGTAGATTAAGAAAATAAATTAAATTAGTTATTTGTAATAATAGGTATTGTCTTTCCTAAAAGATCCTTACTAATCAAGTCTATCAACTAGAACTATCAGTATTACAAGGATTACCTTAGAAAAAAATGAATAAATATGAAAGACAAATTGGATTGAGGTCTTATATTTAGGACTAAAATAAAAGTCAAACGAGAATAATTAAAAAAATATATTCAGCTCTTCATCTTCCGGACCGTTGACTTGACATTTATTTGCTCCATTGACTTGACTCTTATTTGGCCAGCCTGATAATTTCTCAAAATATTTTTTTAAAACAATAAATTCCCATCTTCATCCATTAAAATGTCTGACATTTTGCAAGTTTGTGTAACTTCTTTGTAAGGGAACCCTCAAAAAGAAATGCATTTAAAATATATGTTTTTTTTTGTCAGGAAATTTAAAATATGTGTCGGTCTTTTATTTACTTCCAGATATTTAGCAGACCCTAACTTTCAACTCCCCTTCACAACTCACGTTACATTGTGTGATATGATGCTTTTTATTGGGAGAATTGTTATGAAGGGATATAATTTCAAAAAAATCTTAGTAATAATAGAGCAATATGTAGTAACAAGTTATAGGATAGTAAACAGTAACTGCTCACTTATTATTGGGACTAGCTAGTAATTATTTTCTTTTTTTTTTTTAGTTTCATGAGTATTAATTATGAAACGAGCGCACGTCAATTCAAACATTGCTAAAACTTGTTTAGTAGCATCATATTGACAAATAGTTTAAAAAAAAAAAAAGAAACAAAATAAAAGAGGATGCAACAAGATATGGAGCAAGTCAGCATTAGATTTAAGGAGGCATCACATGATCACAGTCCTCAATTTTCTATATTTTAATGCTAAAGATATTTTTTGGGAAAATCCCAAAAAAGGTCCTTGGAATATGGGAAATGCCAAATTGGGTCCTTAAATTTCGAAAATGACAGAATGTGTCATTGACCCAATCTGTCATTTGTGAAATTCAGACGAATTGACAATTTTGCCCTCATTTATTCATTCACTACAATGATTTAAGGAATCACTATAAGAGTTTAGGTGTTACCTAGATTCGTGTAGCGAATAACTACTCACTTTTTCATAGTCAGGTGTGTTGTTATTAACTACAACTAATTCCGTAATTACTAGAACAATGTAAGCATTACCTAGATTTGTGTAGAGAATAACTATTCATTTTTTCATAGTCAGGTATCTTATTATTGTCAGGTACCTTATTATTAACTACAACAAATCTTGTAATTACTAGAACAGTGTAAGCGTTACCTAGATTTGTTTAGAGAATAACTACTCACTTTTGCTTAGGGGCAAAATTGTTAATTCGCCTGAATTTCACAAATGACAGATTGGGTCAATGACCCATTCTGTCATTTTCGAAATTTAAGGACCCAATCTGAGATTTGGTATATTCCAAGGGTTTTTTCTGGGATTTTTCCATATTTTTTTTAAAAAAATCTTTTATGATATTAACCTTTTCATGAGGTCCCAAGTGTCGGTTCTCTATAGATCTGTGTCTTTCGTGATTGTCACTCCCACTAAAGGAAGTCAACATTATAGAGTTCCCATTTTTTTTTTGACCTTTTACTGATACTATGACCGCCCAGTGGACTTTGTAATTTCTTTAATACTACTTCTGGTCCTAATTATAAGAGTTAGTTAATTAATTTGAAGAGATTAAAAATATAAGTTGAGTTAGTTATTTGTCCTAAATAGGTGTCGTCTTTCCTCAAATATCCTCACTAATCAAATGTATTGACTAGAACTATAATTATTAGAACGACTATCTTGAAAAAAATTAAGTAAATATGAAAAACAAAGTGGATTGAGATCTTATATTTAGGATCAAAATAAAAATCAAACAGGATCTTATATTGAGGACCACAGATAGTATTTCTTTCTGTCTCGTGACGTGGAGCCAACTCCACTTGGGCCCTTCCCTGCTGTGACTCCAATAATTCTACCAACTGTACATTATCAAGTCTACAGACTACGGCCCAAGTCCCCATGCCCAGAGTTCCCTCCATCATTTGAAAGCCACGGAAACTTATTTCAGTTGGTGCCTTGTTGGGTAGAATTAACTGTCTGGCGTCTCTGACTACTGTTTACCAATTTTCCAAAAGGAAAAATTCAATTTCCAGTAAAAATACTGTAATTGTGGGCACCGCACATTTTCAAAATTGAATCAAACCATGCAAGCTTCTTTGTATTATCTTCAAGAGCCAAATAAAAGCCATTTTACAGAATTTTGCTGACTGCATCTTCAGGAAGCCCATGCGGTCAGCAGCAGCAGCAATAATAACAATAACAACAAACCTTGTATCATTCATGAGGGTGGTTACACGGATCTCACATCGACCAACTCTTTAAATATACCAAGCAAAATACTAAAATGCTTCATTTCCAAGAATGTTATTGCATTCTACTGTACAATGTAAATACATGGAATTTCCCAGAAGTCATGTCATGACAGCAGGTTAGGACAAATTGAAATTCCACGTCATAATTAACTCTCAGATGTTGGTTTGTGTGTGTGTGATATACATAATCTCTATGAGGCCGGAGGTTCATCATCCATCATCTCCACTACAGGAGCATACTGCACAATGAATAGTGACTAAGGTCCATGTAGGAAGCACGCAGATTGCAAGGACAAGAGAGTAATACTATTGAATAAACTCACCTCGTCATTCTCTTCAAAATATATCCCATCAACGGCACTGTTCTGCTGAAACTCCCATCCCAGACTGCTCTCAAGCAGCTCCTTGAATTTTCTCGTCTGCGATGAATGAAAAAAGTCAATTGTTATTTTCTTCATAATAACCAGTCAAAACCCTGCAGCCAGAAGAACAGGCTGCAAAAAATTTCATTCAGAGCAGACCAAATTTATATCAAAAGTACGGATCTACAGAAGGGTCGTTATGCAATTATTTTGGCCCTCTTAACTACCAATACCTGCCATCAATGACCATGATTCAATGCTGTTGACTGCCATCATCAAGTAACAGCAACTGTCATCTATTGCAATTTTGCCCAGGCTTAAGACATAGGTTTGACATTTTCCTATTACACATGCGACTATAAAGTGAACTTTAATATTTGCATTTTAATCTTAATTCTACACATGTCAACAACACGCTTATTTGAATAACATTAAAAAGCATATCATATCTAATCATCTGATAATCAAGGTAAGTAATAATTGTTTATTTAAAATGAAAAAAAAAAAGGGGAAGGCTGCGTTGCTCCTTGTCTTGTGTAGCTGTGTATGCAGGAGACACATGTAACTAGGCAATTAACTTGTTTTCCCCCTACAGTTACCAAATGGGCCAAATCCCTCCCTGTTGTGCTTACTAGTGCACGATACATTCCAGGCATACCAAACCAGAAAGAAATTGCGATTTCATCTTCATTCCATCCTTCAGTTCCGGCAATTTTTCAATTCCTAATTATAATTCTCTTTCTTTTGAGGGAAGAAGCAGAAGATGTACCAGTATGATAAAAACAGGATCAGAGCTCATACCCATGACAAAAGATCTCCATCAACAACAGAGGCATCTTGAACCAGAGAAAAGAAATCCTGGAATTCAAAAATGGTACGAGTCATAGATTAACACAAACTCAACAAGCTAAATCAACTATTTGGACGTTGTACTGAGATAAAGATTCAATCAATACTAGCGGAAGCAGCCAAAATATTGGGCAATTAGATCACAAGAATCCAAGGCCTTAAAAGCGACTACATCTTGTAGGGAGGAGGATTGAACAAGAACGGATAGACAAAGCAGATCTCCCTCGACAATATTTGAGACATTACATTTCCCGTTAAGTCCTCTTTACTTTGTGTTAGTTCTGACTTTAACGAATCCTTGACACATTTTGCTGCTATCAACTTAATTCCTAGAGATAATTAAAGGAGAATTCTCATTTAGATGTTATTGATGATTGATGATGTCAGGAAATTTTTTGACAACGGATGGAATATCTGAAAAATGGAAAAGCAGGTACATATACCGACAAATATTTCCAGCTGGGAAAATGTACTCTAGAACACTTAAAAAAATCAAGCTATTCAACAAAGTTAACCGGGTGAAGGGGGAAAAAAAATCAAGAGAACCAGTGCAATTGTGCCAGAATAGGTATGCAAGATAACACAACAAATCTGAGAAGTTAAAAATTGGGTTCATAACATCATCAAGCTACCTTACAAAGACGGTGCAGAAAGCTGTCGGCAGAAAACCAAGAATCATCCAACAATGCTGGCCCTGTTTCATCTGGGCGATCTTTCTGTAGTCCATATTTTAGTTGATAGTAGATTACCTTTATGAACTATGAGAATCCATAAAATTCCAAATTTCAGCTAAGTGAAGTTGGGGAAAGCAAACACAAGAGCAGATGAAAGCAGCAGGTTGTAAATCGAAGAAGTATCTCAAATAGGAAATTATTTTTACAAGCAACCACAGCATAGCATAATAATACAAGTCAGCTATATTTAATATGGTAATATACTAGTTAAACACCAAAAACTTTAGAAGATATCAAACTCTGCAATTCATAGCTCCTCAAAACTTGTTCACCCTTTAAGAATTATTTCACCCATTTTTCATCTAAAGTCCTGATTTGAGGACTTTTGCATCATCCAAAGAAATTTGATAAAAGTCACAGCTTTTTTTACTCGTTATCCAAATTCAGCCGCCTTTATGCTCCTAGGCGGCCTTCTGAGAGTAAAAATATTCAAAGTAATATGTTGATTGTTTTGTACTGTATACGAACCAAGATGGTATGGGGTGCCTAAGCCCTGCATTATGTTACATGGAATGCTTGAGTAATTGGCTTATACGGGGAGGGTTTCCCAAGCAGATGCCCATCAGAATCTTAAAGAATAAAATACAGTTCCAACGTTTACCTTTTTGAATAGTTGACTCCGTGTATGGAAGGGCTGCAAAAGATTGGACAAAGTCTTAGAGAAATAAATATATCTATAATCATTTCATAACACCACTCCACCCAATTTTGATCCCATACTATAATTTTAGCATATAACATGACACCTAATACATAGCCTACCAACAAAATGTCCCAGGAAATAAGGAAAAACTGCCATATGAAGAAATATGAGAAAAATTTCCATGCGGGGACAAAATTGAAGATTATCAAGTTTAAGATATTACAATGGATATAGAACCCCATTTTGATATGTCAAGTTATTTTTCTGTTCTGTGTATAAGCTTCAGCGCTGCTCAAATAAAAGAAGCTTCAATTTTCATCTACATCACATAAATTTAATATGACAAGTTCCTTTCCCTGAAGGTAAAGGGTTTTTAAACCCTCAATGTTGTGTCCCACTCTCAAGAACAGTACGTTGGACTTGGTCAAAACGATCTTCTCAACCAAGTTTTCTGAAAGGTTCAGAGCCTTCTTAAGTTTTGCAAGCAAAATATGCAGAATATCCTTTTAGAGAAATATCCAGACATAGCAAAAATGAATTCTAAGCATGCCAGATTTTGAGCCTCGAAAAACCCTGCAGGTTAAGCTGTTCTGTTAAGCAGGAGCCCCAAGATTGATTTAATTATCCTATCAAATTGAATATTACGGAAGATATATTATTTTGCAGCATCCGCAGTTCAGTCTCTTAACTTTGTGTCTTTAATGAGAAACAAGCATAAATAAGAAAACTAAAATTCAAAAGGTCATTTGAAAAGTCCTTGCATGCATCATTCAACTGGGATATAACTACAAAGCTATACTCACTGCTTCAGTGCAGCCTAAAAAAAGGCTAACTAAGGACTTCCACTGGAGAAAAGCTTCAAGTGATTGCCCCATCTGCACATTTACAAAATATCAAATTTCATATTTGGTCAAATATGATAAATAATTTACCAAGAAATCAAGTTTAATCTGCTATACCAAGAAGGCAACAAATGCAAACTGCAGTTCTCCAAGAAGCAAGTCCTCAGAACCTCCATAATCTTTTTCCAGCAGAGTTTCTAACAATTGTGTCTGAATAAACCAACAAAAGAGAATCCACATAAATCAGAGAACAAAGGACTGGAATGTTGCACTGAGATCACATGCTAAATTAATACCAACATACAAAGTCCCCCCCCCCTTTTGGGACCAGGTATTCAATAATATGTACACAAACAACCTTGTCAAGATTCAAAGAAGTAAGTTCTTGTCCTTGCATCCCTTTACATTTTATAACGCTGGGAACAGATGTATAGTAGCATCCTTTCCTCTGACTCTGAGACTTGTCAGCTGATGTTGCAAACTTACTAGCCTTAAGTTGCTTTTCTAGAGCCTTCTCCATTGGCGTCTTTGGAGTGTTTCCAACCATCCCACTCTCATGTACAACATTGATTTCACCTCCAATGGGCTCTGCCCATAAAGTTTATCAGTTAAAAAGCTGAATATTGTGCAAAACAGTAAGTCAGAAGAAAGGCGTTCCACCATCAGTTTAATACAGAACGCCTTGCAAGTAAGAAAATAGCATACCTAGCCTTTCTATCACACTCTTTGAAATAAAATTAGATAATCGCTTCCAGTCTACATAATGATTAAGATTGTATGGCCCAAGATGTCTGTCAAACTCCAAATTTTTAACTGCTTGACGGTATCTTTCCTCCTAGGTAAAAAAGTGGGGGCAAATGAGAAACCATTTATTCATAAAGATAATAACAAAACTATAAAAAATGGACAGTAAAAGAAACACAAAAGATAAAAATGATAGATTGCCAAAAGCAAAGAATAACAACAAATTGCTCCAGATACCCCATTATTAAGAATCCAACTAAAAAATCAATCCATCTACTAATTATCCACTAGTACTAACAATAAACCTCTGAGCTTAGCAGAAGCAAAATGCCCTGTTCTGCCACATAAAAGAAGAGGATCGTGATTCTAACTTTGTAAAGATTTTGGAATTCATGCTTCTACACCAACTAATTATATTGATGCATAATTTCGCCTAATATTGTCTTAGAATGTCTAAATTGACCAAGAAATCACATAATACTAAACAAGAATAAAAGATAACTATATATTATTTTATTTATATCAGTCTTGCATTAAAAAATAATTAGATAAAGAATATATATACAACTCAAGGAACACCTACCTCTTCCTCGGATAATTTTATCAGCCTTTCCTCTTGTTGATCCCATTTTCGAACAATTACCTGTGTATCCATGTTAAATATCAGGAAACACAGTTATACAGACCTTTGAGATTTTTCGGACACACAATGCCGCGCACTAAGTTTTCTTCCTTTATCATGTCCATTAAAGAATGAATAAATTTTCTTCCTTTATGATGTCCATCAAAGAATGGATTCAAGTCTTCAACAAGAAAGCCATTAGTTAATTCTAACCAATCCATCTCAGGTGTTGAGTATCATTAGGAGTGTAGGAATAGTGTATAAACCTCAATTTATTCAGAGATAAGAGTTTAGTGAGAAAAGATATTCTAAACGTCAAGGCATTAGGACACTTCTAACACTATAAACAGGAAAAATGTTATTCACTTTGCCTTCTTTCTACAGTATCTCCTACAATGTTATTCACGAAGTAAAATGCAAAATAATTGTTTTTGCAAAAATCTTCCAGTCTTTTGCATATCAAGAATGCTTTCCTTTGAGAGTTTACGGTGGATGGGAGACAACTCCAAATGAAACTTTAAAAGCCAAAGATGTCGCTCAATATGAAACAAACCCCCACAACACACCACATTACAACTACCTTTCCTTGTTAAAACTCTCATGCTTATCTGAAATGAAACAAGACAACAATGTACACAACCCAACAAAGTGTCTGAACAGGATCTTGGTAGAATCTAGGAATAATTCTATTCAAGCATGGAGGAATTAAAAGATACAAAATCTCAAGGATGACAATAGACACTGATGTTCAAGATTCTCGAGGTAATATCAATACAGATCAGAATAACCAATTTAAAAGAAAATCTAAAGCATTCCTTATCTCCAGCTGCGCTTGATTTATCAAATTTTGAGTTGGGGAAAAACCAATTATAAGTTATAGTAACCATCTCAGCATGTATGTGGATGATTTGACAAGAGAGATATAAAGTTTCTAACCTCTGAAGGACCAACATCAATAAAGAACCCAATTATTGGTGAGAACTCCTTGCCGTCCCTGTGAAAATAAAAATAGAATGTCAAATGAAAAGATGCAACAACTTTATTGAGGCACACAATGGACAAGAGTATTGAAATATAGGATGCAGTTGAACCAAAGTATCAAAAGTTCAATAAAAAACATGCATTAATGCTTATTATTTTATGATCTGCTAAACAAAATAATAATGGTACCGATAAGTACTGCTCCAGTCTGACATCTTTTTCATGCTTACTTCCCTCATCCAAAGAGTAAAGGCTAATTTATTTAAGGAAGAGTTAGAGCTGGATAATAAGAAGCATGATTTTACCTGCTTGAAGAACTGTAATAGACAAAATGAGGACCAGGAGGGATCATCTTAATACCCTTAAAAGCAGGTCCCACAGAAAACATCTGCCAAAAGGAATTTTGATGTCACCTGTGTCAGAGGAAGTTGAAAGCAACAAGAAAATTTTCCCCCTTTTTCCTTTTCCAAGACCGACATAGCTACACTCAATTTCCAGATACAAAGATTTTTTTTTTTTAAAACAAAAGTACGTGCAACAAAAGAAAATTAAAGGATGACCTCTACACTACCTGAGAAAATAAGATCAAATTTCCATCTTAATTGGCCCTATCAGTTGTTTTATGTATGCCCTTCCGTAATCTACAATTTTTAACAAGCCAACAAAAACAAAATTTGCAGTATTAAATTTAACTTCCGTAATACGTTGTATCAAAACACTTCTGTGATACAATGTTCGCTCCAGCATAAACAAAACAGCATGTGCAACCAAACACAAAGGAATGTATGCATGCATGTGTGTGTGAGTGAACGTATGTATGTAAATCAAGACTGTGGAAAGTAAACTCACTTACAATGGGGGCGCAATTAAGTATGCTTCAAGACAACTCAGGGAAAAGATAGCAAATGCTATTCTTGACCATATCGAGCTTACTATTTCATTGACCGAATGCAGTGAAAGCTCCAGCTATCCTATTTGACCAGAAAGGAAATGAGGGAAAATGTTAATAATTCACTTGCCTGAGTATCGATTCCGACGAGGGTATACTGAGGAACATCGAGGAGGAGAAGAGTGACTCCATGCTTCACAAGTTCTAACGCTGTTTCAGGATCCATGTTTCCAACTATGAAGCTTCGGTTTGCAGTCCTTCGTGTTCGTGTAGATGGAAGAACAAGGCGGGGCAATGTTCTGAAGCGTCTTGAGCCTTCTAGCGCAGCGTCGTGGATGTCCAACAAAATAAATTGGAAAAATGACATTGAGGTCCCACATAAACAAAAATACAGTAAAAAGGTCCCCTGAAATCCCATAATTTTTCTGAAGTCTCAAAGGAACTTAGATGCAATTTTCAGAATCTGGAAATTACCCTCTTGCCCTGGACCTGTTATTAGAAAAAGAGACGGGAGAAGTTCATTTGGTGAGGATTTCCCACGCAAAATTATCATGGTGAAGCTTCTGTAAATGCGAGGATTTCCATGGGTGAAGAAAATGTTGAAGCTTGACAAATCTTCAGGTGTGGAACTTTTTTTTCTCTCCTCTCCTACCTTTCTTGACAGATTGTGCATTTATTTGGGAATGGAAAATGAAAAACTCGTTTTTGCCTTTGGTATTTCAAAGCTTTTGTTTTTGGTTTAGGATTCAGAAGTTAATGAATGGAAAAGCTGTGTTTTTGATTGGTGTCTGTTGTGATTCAAGTTGGGTGTGTAGAATGATAATGGGTGCTCTGTTTTTGGGTTGTTTTTGGGTGGTTTTCCTCTGTTCTGACGTTAGTTTAGTGGCAAAGGAAGAAAAAGATGAAGGTTAGTGAGGGTAGAAACCCTTAACACGAAATGGGACTGTGTTGTCAATCAGACCGCGATTGTTGTCAATGTGTGCCGCTACACTTGTCAATGTAGCTCTTTAAGTTGTCAATGACAGTTGCGTGCTTCTTGATGCAGGTTTAAGTTACTGATGGTATTTCAAAGCTTTTGTTTTTGGTTTAGGATTCAGAAGTTAATGAATGGAAAAGCTGTGTTTTTGGTTGGTGTGTGTTGTGATTTAAGTTGGATGTGTAGAATGATAATGGATGCTCTGTTTTTGGGTGGTTTTCCTCTGTTCTGACGTTAGTTTAGTGGCAAAGGAAGAAAAAGATAAAGGTTAGTGAGGCTAGAAACCCTTAGCACGAAATGGGACTGTGTTGTCAATCAGGCCGCGATTGCTGTCAATGTGTGCCGCTACACTTGTCAATGTAGCTCCTTAAGTTGTCAATGACAGTTGCGTGATTCTTGATGCAGGTTTAAATTACTGATGGCAAGTACGTCTGGAAAACATCTATTTTGCTTTGTTCACATAAGGGGAAAGTTTATAAATGATGGAGAAGATAATATGAGATATGTGGGAGGTAGTGTAAGAACAACCAATGTAAAGGAGGGCACAAGTTATGAAGAATTGAAGGAAATTATATCATCAATTGTTGGAAAAGAAAGCAACTCATTTCTTTTGAAATTCTCAGTTGTGTTTGATAAAAAAACTTTTGTGGAGTTGGTAGATGATGATGGGGTGGAACATTTGATAAAGTTCAATGAAGAAAGTGGTCATGTGTATGTCGAAGAAAATGAAAATGAGGACCACATAGAAGCAACAAGGGATAATACAATGGAGGAGCAAGATGTGCAAGTATAGTTGAACAAAACTGTAAATGGGTGTGAAGGGAATTTTTTGTAAATGGATACACACCAATAGTTAGTTTCTCGTAATTACATGCAATCCCTGTGTTTTTTTGGGATGGGTTGTGAAATAGGTGTAGTTTCATGTATATGAAGGTGTAAATGAAAGCTGACTATGAATTGGCATGTTAGATTCTGCTGTCATTTAAGTTGTCATACCTGCACCTTGTATTGTCATTAGACCTGTTATGACTTATCAATAGAGCACTGTCACTTGTCAATTAATTTACTAATGTAAGTTGTCAACAATATGAATTCAAATTACATAACTTGTTTTAGTAACATATGATATTTTCAATCACTCTGTCATATTATATTTTTGGTTATTTGTCATATATAACCATTATTAATGAAGTGTCAATGGTGGCACTGTGACTTGTCAATGGTGGCATAGTGACTTGTCAATCATGTCCTTAAGACTTGTTAATGGTGGCGCTGTGACTTGTCAATGGTGGCACTGTGACTTGTCATTGGTGGCACTGTGACTTGCCAATGGTGGCACACTGACTTGTCGTTGGTGGCACTATGACTTGTCAATCATGACACACGGACTTGTCATTGGTGGCAAGATGACTTGTCAATGGTGGCATTTTGACTTGCCAATGGTGACACACTGAGTGGATTTTGAGCACCACGGTGGATTGTTAAAGTTACAAAAATGAGGCTGAATAGTTGATATGCCTTGCTTGGAGTTCAAAGTATTTGTGAAGATTGTATGCTCTGTAGTGGTTACTATATTCCTTTATGGGGATTTCTATTTCCATATTGATGATTGCATCTGAAAAAGAGGATGAATAAAGGGCACTTCAATCCCAAACACCTTATGGCAACACAGACTGTGTGTATTTATTTGCTACTGTTATACTTGTCAATGACTACTCTTATAGTTGTCACTGCATGCTATGTAGTTGTCACTGGATGTTTGTTAGTTGTTATCACGTGCCCTGTTAGTTGTCACTGGATGCTGTGTTAGTTGTCACTGGATGCTGTGTTAGTTGTTATCACGTGCCCTGTTAGTTGTCACTGGATGCTGTGTTAGTTGTCATCACATGCTCTGTTAGTTGTCAGTGGATGCTTAGTTGACTAGATGCTGTGTTAGTTGTCACTACATGCTATGTTAGTTGTCACTGCATGCTCTGTTAGTTGTTACTGCATGCTCTGTTAGTTGTCACTACATGCTCTATTACTTGTCACTGGATGCTGTTACTTCACACTGGATGCTCTGTCATTTCTCACTGGATGCTCTGTCATTTCTCAGTGGATGCTCTGTTAGTTGTTAGTGGATGCTGTTTTTTGTTACTGGATGCTCTGTCCCTTGTCACTGGATGCTATGTTACTTGTCACAATATGCTCTGTCCCTTGTCACTGGATGCTGTGTTGTTAGTAAAACCTTTTGATTATGTGTGTTTTTTTTTTTTTGCAGATGAACTGTTTCCATACGATGTTGCGTGCTGTTAAGCCAGAGTTGTTTGCCAATGAGGACAAAATTGGCAACGAAGTGAAATGGGCTAAAGTTTATGTGCAGAATGATACGTGAGTGTAGTTGTTCTGTTTGATTGTGTTATGTTGTGTTTGTTCACAATAAAAATTGCATGCTGCTTACATATTGAATTTGCTTGGCAATGATTCATGTGGAGTTCATGTCCTCTCTTGGCTACAAGAGTGGGATGGCACTATTCGTGATGCTGCAGGATATACCATGCCACGATACTCCAATGATGAATTACAAGAGTTGAAGGTTGGCTGTTTGTGGTGGTTGGTTACCCATCCACAAAATGAACATAGGGATGAAGTGATGTCAATGCTATCGGACTTCAACAAGAGCAAGAGGAGGAGATAGAGGAGTCCATTAATTTTTTGTTCTGTTATGCCAGGATGTGTTATGAGATGATTGGCACCTAAGGGTGTGAGCCATGAGTGGCAATAGCTTAATGGTCAATAGGTCCTTTTGTAACAAACTGATCAAATTATGTTTATAATATTATTATCTTTGTTATCAGATGTTATGATACCAATTTCTTGGGGACAACTCACATTTTTATTTTTGTTGTTTTATATCTTTATTGATATCGACAAATTTATGTAATATTTAAGTAATATAACATGAGTTAATGACAAGTGATATAACAAATGAATATGTGGATATTAACAATTGATATTCAAAATTTTTACAACTGAATGTGTTATTTATTTGTAATGTTAAGTGATATTTATATTAAAATATAATTAATCAGAAGGTGTTACTCAGAGTTATGTTCAATTAACAAGTCACTCTGCTCTATTGGCAAGTCACAGTGCTACCAGTGACAAGTCACAGTGCTACCAGTGAAAAGTCACAGTGCTCCATTGACAAATCACAGTGCCACCATTGATAAGTCACGGTGCGATGATTGACAAGTCATCTTGCCACCAATGACAAGTCCGTGTGTCATGATTGACAAGTCATAGTGCCACCAACGACAAGTCAGTGTGCCACCATTGGCAAGTCACAGTGCCACCAATGACAAGTCACAGTGCCACCATTGACAAGTCACAGCGCCACCATTAACAAGTCTTAAGGACATGATTGACAAGTCACTATGCCACCATTGACAAGTCACAGTGCCACCATTGACACTTCATTAATAATGGTATATATGACAAATAACCAAAAATATAATATGACAGAGTGATTGAAAATATCATATGTTACTAAAACAAGTTATGTAATTTGAATTCATATTGTTGACAACTTACATCAACAAATTAATTGACAAGTGACAGTGCTCTATTGATAAGTCATAACAGGTCTAATGACAATACAAGGTGCAGGTATGACAACTTAAATGACAGCAGAATCTAACATGCCAATTCATAGTCAGCTTTCATTTACACCTTCATATACATGAAACTACACCTATTTCACAACCCATCCCAAAAAAACACAGGGATTGCATGTAATTACGAGAAACTAACTATTGGTGTGTATCCATTTACAAAAAATTCCCTTCACACCCATTTACAGTTTTGTTCAACTATACTTGCACATCTTGCTCCTCCATTGTATTATCCCTTGTTGCTTCTATGTGGTCCTCATTTTCATTTTCTTCGACATACACATGACCACTTTCTTCATTGAACTTTATCAAATGTTCCACCCCATCATCATCTACCAACTCCACAAAAGTTTTTTTATCAAACACAACTGAGAATTTCAAAAGAAATGAGTTGCTTTCTTTTCCAACAATTGATGATATAATTTCCTTCAATTCTTCATAACTTGTGCCCTCCTTTACATTGGTTGTTCTTACACTACCTCCCACATATCTCATATTATTTCTCCATCATTTATAAACTTTCCCCTTATGTGAACAAAGCAAAATAGATGTTTTCCAGACGTACTTGCCATCAGTAACTTAAACCTGCATCAAGAATCACGCAACTGTCATTGACAACTTAAGGAGCTACATTGACAAGTGTAGCGGCACACATTGACAACAATCGCGGCCTGATTGACAACACAGTCCCATTTCGTGCTAAGGGTTTCTAGCCTCACTAACCTTCATCTTTTTCTTCCTTTGCCACTAAACTAACGTCAGAACAGAGGAAAACCACCCAAAAACAGAGCATCCATTATCATTCTACACACCCAACTTAAATCAAACACACACCAACCAAAAACACAGCTTTTCCATTCATTAACTTCTGAATCCTAAACCAAAAACAAAAGCTTTGAAATACCATCAGTAACTTAAACCTGCATCAAGAAGCACGCAACTGTCATTGACAACTTAAAGAGCTACATTGACAAGTGTAGCGGCACACATTGACAACAATCGCGGCCTGATTGACAACACAGTCCCATTTCGTGCTAAGGGTTTCTACCCTCACTAACCTTCATCTTTTTCTTCCTTTGCCACTAAACCAACGTCAGAACAGAGGAAAACCACCCAAAAACAACCCAAAAACAGAGCACCCATTATCATTCTACACACCCAACTTAAATCACAACACACACCAACCAGCACGAAGGCTCACGATTTTCGGCGGGTTGTGAGGGGAATTTGAGCATCGCGATGGGTTGTCACCGGATTTCCAGCAGCACAAAAGCACAACAGGGTTTCAGCTTTCTTCCGGTCAAACAAAAAACAGAGGCTCTAATCTCCTTTCAGCATTTTCGAATCTCATAAGCAAGGGCAAGAGGGTAATTTCCAGATTCTGAAAATTGCATCTAAGTCCCTTTGGGACTTCAAAAAAATTATGGGATTTCAGGAGACCTTTTTGCTGTATTTTTGTTCTGTGGGACCTCAATGTCATTTTCCAAATAAATTCTGCTGAGAAGAAATGTGAACTTCCGTTATACTCCCCACTAAAGAGGGGTAAAAAGTGAAAAAACCATACTTTTTTCCGAGTGATTTTTTTATTTAATTTTTGCGAATTTTTATGAATTGAAAAATTCTAAACAAGTTATTACCCCAAAAAATTTCTTTAACATTTTTAATGTAATTCAACCGAAAAATATCTATATTATCAATTTTTTTAACAATAATCAAATGCATATTTTTCCACCAAATTTAAATGCATATAAATTAGTAGTAAATTATACTTCTTACAAGTCATAAGTTAGTGCTTCTTTTGTTATTGTTAACCAAAAAGATCAAAGATCAAAGATAATGAAATGCAACTCATCAACAAATAACGATATACCGTGATAAAATACGACTAACAATCATGCTTTCTACAGGTTCTTTTTTTTTTTGAAAAAAAAAACTCAGTTTTAATTTTTTTTTTCCCCATATGTTTGGGCAAGAATTAAATTTTAAAAAGAAATATTCCAAAAAAAATAATATTAGTATCTCTATTTTTACACCTCAAAGAGATAAAAGTATGTGCAAGGTAAAAGTCACTTACATGTGCAACTAGATGCGCTTGTATATTATCACAATGTCTAAAAAAATAAGTTATGCGTCGTTGCTTATAAGTAATGTAATTTGTCATAAATTTTATATTTTATGTTAACATTATTCTGATGATTTCCTAATGTTCCTCATTTCTGTTCCTCTTTTGCAAAAATCTTGGTTGATATTAGAAAATGAGAGCACAAAAAATTACAGAGTTAACTAATTTTCTTTAAAATATATATTAATTTGTCTTCTCTTATTGGTAGTCTTAAAATCTAAAACCCACCCGCTCTGAAATAGAAAAAGGAATGGAAAGCAAACGAAAATGATAATTTACATAAGAAAATTTTGCATTTGTCCAAATATTTAAATCAAGGGGTAAATAATCGGTCTTATCATTGTTGAGTTGCTGTACCGAGGAATTATCCTATTGGTGATTCATGAGACTCACTATTCAGATCAAAGACTCGAAGAGATTATCTATTGGTTTTTTCAATAATACAGGTTACATCAGTGACCCACATACACCCTTTTTTTTTTTTGGCTATGCATGATTATTTCCCGATTAGAGACAATCTTATTTGAGCGACTATCAAGCACTAAATGTAAACACCTCTTCTAACATGAATTCAAATATTAATTCATTCGATTGTGAGGGATTAATTCTTTCTGCTAGTCCTTATAACCTGGTTGTTTTTCTATTAAAACAACATAACGCTGCACTCCAAATTTTCAAGGAATTGCGTAGGAAAGATGTGCTACCTCAAGACTTCATTACTCTTGCTTTCGTTCCCTTTTATGTTGGATCCTTCACAATGGTAGCATCAATGAGAATCGAATTGGACATTATTTATGGAGTTAAGACGTACATCTGCCCATAAAGCATTCGTAAGTGGAAAAGTATTACTACCGTTAATTCATACAAACATCCGTTAACTAATAAACCATAAACGGATGTGCGGCTTACCATCTAGATCGAGAAAACATTTCTAGTTTCTATGCTTTGTTATTGACATCTGCTAACTCATATGGAAGGGTTTTTGAACGAGAAGGAAGAGAGGTGGTAAAAAGGGATCAAGCCAAGATCCAAATTCTATGCCCATGACCCACCTTGATGTCCAAGAGAAGATTCAAACATTGGCATTAGAATTTTTTAGATTCTCTCCTATTCAAAAGAGGATCCACACTGATCATTATATACAATAACAATAAAACTTATCCTGTTAGGTAGAGTCAGTTCCATGAATTGTTTGATACCATTAAGCTCTACAAAAGACCAAATCCTTAAGAAAATTGTTGATCAAAATATCTCACTCAATTTAATCAACCCTCCTTATCCACAAATCCAAAGAGTCTTTAATCGTGATCAAATCATTTCAAAAAAATTTCTACCATTTTCTTTTAAATAGAAGTCACTCCAACTTTTTGGCTTATATGTTTATTTCCAACCCCATCTTTTCTTATATGACCATACATCTATCTAAACATTCTCATATTCAGTATCCCACTTTATACCCATGGTATCCCTATAAAACCTAACAGTCATTTCCATATAGCATTATTGGTCTTGTAACAATGTGATAAAGCTTTCTTTTCACTTTATTAAGTACTTTCTAGTCATAAATAACTCACATAACTTTTCTTCATTTAAACCACCCAATTTAAATTCTATTATTAATTCTTTGTCGATTTCCCTTTTTGTAAATAATCATTATGTATAATAACTTAATTCTTGCCAATCATATCAGCAGTTATTCTATCATTGTCACCCTAGCAAAGTAAAGTCTACTTTTTGTAGGCCTTTGTTGCTAAACATATCACAAATTTATTTTCTGTGTCTGATGAACAAATATGAATAAACCATCTTTCCTTTTCATTATACGTACAGCTTGGAGTTCTGGAAGCACTTGAATATTATAACGAGAAGCAAAGATCACATATCGTAGGCGGTCATATCACCAATTTAATTGTATATTTCAGCTTTAAATAGGACTTGGGGGCTACGAATATCATCCTGGCTTTGAATTAATCTGATCTCTAAGCTGGTTAACTGAGGATTATGTCCAGCTCTTCGGTAATCATTGACTGTCCTCTGCAAAAGTGCCTGCATGATTTGGTGGCACAAAAAATATTAATCACCCATCATTCAGAAGTTTTGAAATCAAGAAAACCGAATTTCACGGCATTGCAGGACAGAGAATCAAGAATCAGAGAAAAATGAAAAATCTCAAATGATGAAGGACTCCCCATTTCTGAGGCAACGCTCCGCAATATTGCGAGGGATGAATAAAATGAATCATAATATTGAGAAATAAAACAAATACCTGCAGGCTTGATACCGCAAGTTCTGCAGCCTTCTCAAGATTATCCGGGTATTTCTAGAACGCGCAGAAAGAGATTTTCTATGAATATTATGGAATTACTAGGCAATAAAGAATACAATTAAAGCCATAAGATAAATAAGAATGAGCAGTACATTGCTCCAACCAAGAAGAAGAGCAGTCATGAGATCCCCTGTTCCCTACGAGAATAAAAAAGCATAACAAAAAAAGGAAAAAAGTAAGCTCCAGTAATTCTATGTATGGATGAAACTCTAAAGAGAATAAGATTTTAGGAAAAACTATTATAAATTTCTGAACAAACAGGTGATGTCAAGAAATCCTCAAATGACGTTGCAATCCCTCTTCTTTAATTTTTTGTAAGAACAATCAAATAAGTTCATTGAAATTGCCCCTTTTTTTTGGAAGCATTAACTTGTCAGTTCTAATTGCATTATTTGTATTTCCATTCGGTGCAGCAGACAGGCAGTGATGAAAGAGAAATCTGCGGTAAACAAGTCATCCCAATTTTATCAGATGCCCTGAAGGGATCGATGGCCCAGTCATAAATTTACAAATGATGGTGGTAAAGGCCTCTTAAAATCTTTGTCAATTCTGATTTCATGGGAACAACAGAAAAATCTCATTATTAGGACTGTCAAGCTAATAAATTGGAGCCTGAACTCTGAAATAATGGGGAAAAATAGATAATTGTAGATCCATACGTCATACAGCACTCAACTATGGACCAGTTCAACTAAAAATCATCCGTGGTTGAATGAACAGTGACATTCACTTTCCTTTACGAAAAAACAATTATAGCATTGCATTGTGAAAAACAATCTGATGGATTTCAGCACAGATTCAACGATAAATTTACAGCAATGAAGTATTCATACTGTGAAATAAGCTGGAATTTTGGGTATCACGATCTTAAATTGTTTGGGAGGCTGTCCCTGCCACATAAAGGTAATGCAATCATAAGCCATTGTCAAATGGAAGGCAGATAGGATTTTAGAAATCGAAAGTATAGCATATAAAATATAAAATGTATGAAAAAGTTGTGGAAAAAGATTGTTTATGACTGTCAAGATACAAGCAACTATATTATGCAGGGTAATTATGAAAAGTAAACACTTCAAATAACATAACCGCTCAAATATCAGAAATTGAAAATTGAATGGAATCGTACATGAGATATACCTACCTTTTCTTTTTGATAGCTGCCTATTAGGAAGAGACTGCCATCTATACTTATGCTAGTAATTACAACCTGGAAGGCAACAGAACTTGTATTGACATCCATTGTACGCAAGTTACATGTGATGTTAAGTAAAGACAAGTTATTGACATTATACTACAGTGAAATGCAAGAACCCAAACATTATCTCGGAGACAGTTCAGTTTCTACTGCCCATAATTAACACGTGTAACAGAGATTTGAGCCATGGATTTGTCCGTTGTGGGGAGCATTAAGATGGAATTTTATTACACAAATAAGTGAACTGAAACAGATATAGCTTAGATTGCTACACTGCATGTGGTATTTCAATAAGTGAAAATTCGTTCCCCCTAAGCACGCAGCTTAGATTCCAGTGTGTGATGCATTATACTCCTCTAGTCCTAAATATAAGATCCTTATATACACTAGTATAAGGGTCTTACATTAGGACCGGAGGAGTAGCAAAAAGCATGAGACATTTGCAGCTGATTGGTTACAATGGATGACCACATGGAAGTTTATAGGATTTAGAGAGAGAAGCACCTTTCAGATAGACAATTCAGAAAGCATGAATCAAGATCAGAAGTCCATTTCCAAAGGAAAAGAAAACATTCGAGAACAGAAAGAGTTCAGTGTGGGTGTGTCCGTGTGTGCGTGTGTGTGTGTGTGAGAGAGAGAGAGAGAGAGTAAAAATATGAACATAGGCTTCCCAGGTGCAAGCACAAATGCAACCTTTGAAGGTCCAGCATCATGAAGAAGGTTACAGGCTTTCCGGCCATCTCCTTCAGACTGAATCCTGTAAAATTGCAAGCGCTTAGATATCAAACAGCAAAATATTGTGAAGTAGCATTATGGTGTGGAAGTAAAACATAAACAATATTGAAGAACTTAAATTAGTCTACGGAAATTGTTTCAATCACTTGTTAACATTTTTATTTTTCAAAAAATTACATAATTTGGAAATAAAACCCAAAAAAAAAAAAAGAACAAGATAACGTTGATAAGAAAACAAATAAAATTAGCTCATGAGATTTCCAGTCACTTCGTCAATCCCCATAGTGCACTCCCTAAGAAATAAAAAATAAATAATTAAAAGAAATCCTCAAGCCACAAGGAGTTCATTGCCAAAGAAACTTATGCTCCTTCACCTACCAAAAAAAAAAAAAAAGGAACCTTATCCTTTTTTCTTTTTTTCTTTTTTTTTGGGACTTATCAATCACCACCATCAACTCAACATCCAAAATAGACTTATACTTGGACTCATTCATCTCATCAATGTAACTGGACTTGGCTCACTCTTCTTCTTTTCCCCTTTCTCCTGAATGCAGTTATTCAGTTGCCTTAACATTGGGTGTGGTCCTTCATTGTCCAATCCTGGATTTGGAACTCTATTGAGCAGGCCATAATTTCTTTTAATAAGTCTACTCTTCAAATGTCCAAATCCAATTCTATTTCACTAGGCTCGTGTTCTTTGAGTTTCAAATGCCTTAGGTCACAATCTTCATTTTTTCCAATGCCTGGGCATGTACTCGTGAACTTGGGTCCAACATTTTTGTCCTTAGTCTCAAAAATTTGTATAATTGTAATCACGTAGGTGACGGGAAGAGGAGTTTATGAAGTTAATTAGGAAAAGACCATAAGAGTAGTTGAAAGGTATTGAACCCATATATAGAGTATACACTTAGGTTGTATTCAAATTATGATGTGAATATTCAGTGCGCATTACTCAGACTCTGTTTCCCCGTTCTCGTCATTCCTTCCTGTTTCTCTCAATTATCTCTCAACTCCCTCCCTTCCCTCTTTCTCTCTCCTGTCAGAGTTACAAACATCTATCACAATCTCATGGCAGTATTAATATCACGTTTATTTTTTGTATACACTCTCTCCAAACTCGATTAACTACTTGTTTAGGATTGCCACATGCTTATAACCTTCATTTTCTCATTGTTCTTTGGAACAATTTTTCAAGGTTTATCTCCAATGTCACTGTCTCCAAACTTCATAGCTAACCCCTGCTCAAAGACAAGCCGGCAAAACTTGATGCGCACTGAAGATAATCGACAGTATATTCCAAATCCACCGCAAAACTTCAAAGTCCTATGAATATTCTTTTACGTTCAGTATTATATACTGAACAATATAAGGCAAAGCATAGCGCTATGCTACCAAGTACCAGCCCACGCAATATATCAGAACTTGAAGAGACAGAAAATAAAGAACACATAAAACTGGGGGGAAAATTTAGCCAATCTCAGTTGTTATATGATTACCTGAACCCTGTCAACAGTTCAGCTTCAAATTGATTGGGAGTCAACATCGAAGCTACTGGAACAACCTAACAAAATT